ATCAAAAATCAAAACACTGTCAAAAATCCAAAAACCTGATTTTTATATTTTTTTTATTATCCTCACAGTCATTGTGTGTGTGAACACACACAGAGTCATGTAGATGGACTCAGGTGTGAAGCTTTGTTTCCGGTTGTTGGCCTTGAACTCAGGGCCTGGGCACTGTCCCTGAGCTCTTTTGCTCAAGACTAGCATTCTACCACTTTGACCCACAGCTCCTCTTCCAGTTTTTCAGTGGTTAACTGGGAATAAGAAACTCATGGGGGACTTTTCTGCCCACAATGGCTTTGAACCATGATTCTTAGATCTCAGCCTCCTGGTAGCTAGGGTTGCAGGTATGAGCTACCAGCGCCGGGCATATGTGCAACTTTATGTAATATTATTACAGATATAGTCTTGCGTAATCACTACTATAATTGATCAAGATACTCAACTGCAACAATCATGACAAAACTCCCTTTGCCCTTTTATAACTTATATATCTTTACCCATCTCTCTCATCTGTATCCTAGCAACCAATAATTTATTCTTCATCATAATTATATCATAAATGTATATGGAATTCTTTCTGTTCATAAATAATGTCCTATAGCATGGACATGCCACCAGCTAACAACTCATCCACTGAAGGGTATTTGGGTAGATTTTGAGTCTATTACTAATAAAGCTGCATTCATATACAAAATTAAACTTACTTTTCCAAGATAAATTTATTATTTAATATTTTTATTATCTTTAAGTAATTTTTACATGAATGCCATTCAACAAAGCAGTTTATGAGTACAATGCATCTGGATCAACATCACTCCTCCAAAATAAATTTATGAGAGTATAGTTGCTGGCACCCATGCTGAGTAGCTTCATTTTCCCCAAAATTCCACATTTTAGTCAAATGAAATTATTTGTACTGTTTCTTCTGTCTCATCATTTATAATCCTGTTATCATTATTTGAATATTTATTATTCGAAGCCCATCTTGAGGGAAAAATTAGTATAGAGTAAATTGTTTTCATTGAAGTTAGTATAGACAGAAAATAGGGATGGAGGAATGAAGGAACAACATAAGATATGATATAGTATTTCACTAATCATATCTCAATAAAATGTTCTGTCCCCTATAAACCTGTATCTTCTTTTTTTGTCAGTCATGAGACTTGAACTCAGGGCCTGGGCACTGTCCCTGAGCTCTTTTGCTCAAGGCCAGCACTCTACCATTTTGAGACACAGCACCACTTATAGTTTTTTGTTTGTTAATTAGAGATAAGGGTCTCATAGATGATTCTGTCCAGGCTGGCTTTGCACCATGTTCAGATCTCAGCCTCCTGAGTATATAGGATTACAGGAATGAGCCACCAGCACCTGGTTAAACCTGCATCTTATTTGCTAAACCTCTTTCATAAAATCTATCTTCTGCTGGGTTCCAGTGGATCATGCCTATAATCCTAGCTACTCAAGAAGCTGAGGTCAGAGAATCATAGTTCAATGCCAGCCCAAGGCAGAAAAGTCCATAGGATTCTTACCTCCAATGAACCACCAAAAAGCTGGAAGTGGAACTGTAGTAGCTCAAATGGTAGAGTGCTAGCCTTGAGCACAAAAGCTCAGGGACAGTGACCAGGCCCTGAGACTAGAACACACACACACACACACACACACACACACACACACACACACACACACACACACACACACAAAATGTTCTGAATGAGAGAGGAATAATGAGCAAAGACAGTCATACATATATACATATATAGAAATGGAACTACAAAACATGAGCAGATGGGTGGGGTTGGGATGGATATGAGGGAGAATAATGGGAAGAATCACAATGATCAAGATACATTTAACACAGAAATTGGCACGCTGAATTGAAACAAATAAGATAATAAAAAATTAAAATTTTAAAACATCAAGAACAGATGCTCCTCAACTTACAATGGGGGTAATGTCCATCAGTTGAAAAGGTTAGTGATTCATTTAGGTATTATTAGATTTGGTTAACCAGCAATATGGTGGTTAACAACACAGTATCAGCAGCCTACCCTCATGATCTCATGGTTAACTGAGAGCTTCTGCCTGCTGCTACTATCCAACATTACAAGAGATGTGTCCTATTAATAGTCTTGAAACCAAAGATTAGTATTCAAAATTTAAAATAAGATTTCTAAGCTGGGTGCTAGTGGCTCACACCTGTAATCCTAGCTCCTCAGGAGGCTGAGATCTGAGGATTGTGGTTCAAAACCAGCCCTTGCAGAAAAGTCTATAAGATTCATATCTCCAAAACACAACTCAAAAAAGCCAGAAGTGGCGTAGTGGCTCAAGTGGAAGGGCACCACCTGTGAGCACAAAGAGGCTCAGGGATAGCGCCCAGGCCCAGAGTTCAAGCCCCAGGACTGGCCAAAAAAAACCCAAAAAACTCATACTTGAATTTTTCAATATTCCTATAACAATTGTGTTGGATTTTCTACTATATTTCTCCTTTTTTTTTCTTTTTGTTGTTCATGGGGTTTGAACTCAGGGCCTGAGTGCTGTTTTTGCTCAAAGCTAGTGCTCTACCACCTCGAGCCACAGTACTACTTCTTGATTTTCTACTATAAAAAGATTTATTATAACCGGGTAACCTGATGAGGTGTTTTCAATTATCTGTTGCATTTTTTTTTATCAACAATCCAGTTTTTCTGAATATGAACTGCCTTGCCAAGCTCTACAAGTAAACTACTTTTCTTTTCTTGGTGTATTTGTGCTTCTAAGTCTTCCTTTCACATCATTCTCAACCACGAGATGATATCTAGTTTTACACTATTGTAAATCATATTGTAGTACATAACTTGTAAATGCCTCCATGTGCATGTAGTGACAATATCTCAAACAGATATCCAAAAAAGGACTTGAAAGAACCAATGATGTACACATTTTTAATATATTCTGCCAAACTGCTGTCCATAGAACTGTTCCAATTTATACCATCATTATATGAGAGTCCCTAGCTTCCTACACATCATTAACATGTGAGATTACCACTATTTTTTTTTTAAATCTAATGGGTAAAATGCTCCATTGTTTCAACTCCATTTCTCTAATTACTACCTATTTTGAACAGAATGTCTATTGACCATTTATATTAATTATTATCCCAACTCTTGGTTCTTATCTTCTATTCATTTGCAATGTACTCTGATTAATAGTTCTTTGTTGTGGAGCTAAATTTTCTGTTATATGTGATATTCTTTTATTACAACCTATCACTAGCCTTACTTTGTTTATACTATCATTTGTTTTATAAAGTATCAAACTTTTATGTAGTCACATTTATCAGCCACTTATCAGTCACTTCATTCTTTCATGACTTCTGGTATTTCATCTTGCTTAAAAAGAATTTCCCACTCCAAAATTATAAACATATTGTCTTTTAATAAGTTTGGGGCTTGCTTGTTATATGAAATTTATATATATATATATATATAGATATATATATAGATATATATATATATATATATATACACATGAGAAAGGACTTTCTCTAATTCTCAAAATAGTGTTGTCTCAACTGTATACTAAGTAATCTATTTCACTCCTCAATTTGAAATGTTATATTTTCCATATGTTAAGTTATCACACAAAATTGACTATTTCTGGACTTTGTTTTCCTATTCTGTAAATCTGTCCATTTCTATACCAATATTGAAAACTTTCAATGACCAAAGGTCTATAGTATGTTTTAGTGTCTGGCAAAATGGAATCTTCTATATTAGTGTCTTTAAAAGTTAGCTGTTCTCATAAATTTTCTCTTCCATATGATTTTCAAATCAGTATATTAAATACCACTTTAAAATCCTATAGGAATTTCTCATTGGCATTGCTTCAATTTTATAGAATAAAAATTGTTTTCTTTAAGACTATTGTACATTTTCAAAATTAAAAAGTACAATATTCACCAAGTGCCTACTACAGGCTAAGTTCCAAAGTAATGAAGGTAATTCTTGTACTACATAAATGTACCAGGGGTGGGGTGTGAGCAATCACTACAGTCAATGAAAAAATATCTACAGATATAAACCAGTTCACTAATGCCATTACAGTACACACCTTGAGGTTTATTTCTGTCTCTGAATTTATTTCTAGTTTTGTTTTATTCCTTGGACCTTACTGTTTTGCCTTTTAAACAAGTGGCAATTTGCTAAGTATTTATACTATGTAAGCGATTATTGTGACCCCATAGGTAAATTTCATCATCATCATAACTATATAGATAAGGAAACTGAAGCTCAAAGAAACTTGCAAAAGTTACATCAGAAAAGATCAGAGAGCAAGGAGGCAGAGAGCACCTAAGACTGGAAATCAGATTTCTCATCTTCTGCCACTCCTCCTTCCCATTTTCAAAGTCCTGATAATCTGCCAAACGTAAAACTCACCTCTGAAATAAGCAAAGGGAATGAAAAACATTCACTTTTGCTTCCTGTTTCATCTCTGGGAATCTGTGCCCAGAGAATAATACAAACCGGTGGAGGGAACAAAGCAATGTTCCTCCATCATTGTCTAAGTTGGGACATGTCAGTCCCTCTCCTTGAACCTAAGGTCAGAGGCCAACTACATAATTGGTGAGGATCTGTGCTAAATGAAAATATTCAAAAGTATTAAGTAGCTGGGATAATAACGGCTCACACTTAACAGTCCTAGCTGCTCAATAGGCTGTGATCTCGAAGTGAGCCAAGTCAGAAAAGTATACCAACTCCAAAACCACCACCACCACCACCACCACCAAGCAGGGATGGAAGCATGGCTCAGGCGGTAGAGCTCTAGCCAAGCAAGCTAGCAGGCACGAGGCCCTAGGTTCAAGCCTCCACACAGGCAAGTAACATGATAACCCCGTAACTTCAGGTGACCAGAGGAGTTAGGGCACGCGCGGGGGCCCCGGAGTGCAGACCCAGGGCCCAGCCCTACCCGTGAGGCGGCTGCTAGGGCAGAGTTGGCCCGTGGTCTGACGCGTGTCCCTGGCTTTGCAGAGTCCCAGCCCGGCTCTGATGAAGAAGGCTGCTCGGAAGTCTTCCTCCCCACCGACAGCGACTACGACTCCAGCGACGCCCTCAGCCCCCGAGACCTGGACTTGGTGTACCTGTCTTCGCACGACATCGCCCAGCAGGCCCTCAGCGGCCTCAGCGGCAGCGCCCCCGACGTCCTTCAGATTCATGACATGAAGCCTCCGGCGGGGCCGGGCCAGGACCCGCAGCAAGGCCGGGCCCAGGGCCCAGACCCAGACCACGCGTGCACCGAGGTCCTCCATGGCCTGTCACTCACGGGCTTCGCCCCCAAGAACCACACCAAGATGGCGCCGCCGGGCACACGGCCCGCGGCGCTAGGCTTTCTGGGAAAGCGGAAGCCCGGCAAGCACCAGCACTACGGCGGCTTCAGTCGCCACCACCGCTGGCTGCGCATGCACAGCGAGATGACGCAGTCGCTGTCGCTCTCGGATGGCGTTTACACTCAACACCTCTCCCCAGCCAGTGGCGCATCCCAGGAATCCCGGGAGGCTAAGCCGCTTCCGGGACCCGCGGGGGGCGATGGGCCCAGGGGCCTGCCTCTAGCCCACGCGGCCAGCCTCCCAGAGGAGCGGAAGAGCCGCCTCCAGGACCCGAGGCCTCCTCCTCCCACCCACCGCATCTATGCCGCCCAGGCCTTTGCAGGGGCCCGGCTGGGCCAAGACGCAAAGCCCTGGGCCAGCTTGAGCCCTGTTCCCGCAGGCCGCAGCCGCCTGCGGAGCCCCTCAGGCCCAGAGATGAGCCCTGAAGGCCCAGTGTCCCCGGTGTCGGAAATACTTAGCAGCATGCTTTAGGGAGACACCACCGGCTATCCTTGTGCTACTACTAGTTCCTGCGGTTGCCAGTACCATAACCCTAAGCCTGCCCCACTGTGTCTCTACCCATTTCCAAATGTTTTAGACTTTACAAATCCAGAGGTTACTGGTTCAAGACCCTCTTTTTTTTTTTTTTCAAGAGGAGGGAAGGCTAGATTTGCCAGTCACGTTCCCAGCCCAGCTTACAAAGGAGCTTTTGTGTCATCGTGATGTCTGAGAGAAGTGATTCAAACATGCAAATCTCTTGGTGGCATCTGTGGCTGAGATGGGCAAATCCAAAGATATACACTCTTAGTAGTACATAGGCTGGCTCTATTATAATCTGACTCCTGGGTTTAGGGCTCTTCCATTCATTTGTGATTGGCAACTAGAGTTCTATAGATGGAAACAGGATTGATTTATCACCCTAGTCTGTACTTTTAGAAGAGTTTGAGGGGAAAAGAAGTCCTGATTTTGTCTCTAGGACAAGAGATCAACTGGGCTTGTGCTGGGTTTCCTGTCAGCTAACCCAGGTCATGCTAAAGTGCAGAGTTCACAGGACTCCCAAAATCCAATTTATCCATCCACACTTACCTAATCAAGCCGGCCTTGGCAGCTCTTTCTATGTGAAGATTACAAAAAGTGCTGTGTGAAGACCACAATAAACGAAAGTAGAAGACACTTCTAGGGCTGTCTTTCAAAGATAGAATAGGGTAGGAAGCAGTCCTTCCCACTCACTTAGCTCCCATTTGAACATAAAAATGAATAGTAAGTTGTTCCAGAGTACAAGGAAACAGCTGTTATGTGAAAGCCTAAATTATACATAAGAGACAGGGGAGGAAGAAAGACATGAACAAAAACCTATCTCCTATACAAAAACTCCTCTACCGTCTTAAAAAACTTAAGGCCAGAGGGACTGTGTCACTGAATATTATACTGGATCTGCTCCAGATTCGCAAGTGATAAAATTGTCATTGAACAAGAAATTGTTCTGCAGCTATGACTGGTGAGGGATGGGTTCCTCATACTCTACAAACACATCACTCACTCCACATCATAGGTCAAGGAGTACCTGCTTTCCTCTTTTAACCTACGACTCTGTTTTGTCCCAGTATTATTTGGCCCACTGGCCACAGGGTAAATCTTTCCTTAGAAGTATTTTATTCCAGAAGGTGCTCAAATTCTGGAGATCCTGATTTGTTCACATTGCCTCCTACTTGACTTCTCACAAATGAGAAGCCCAAAAACAAATCAGAGAAATCATGTCACATATTTAGGAAAGGCATGAGTCTTCTTAGGTCCTGAAGCCAGCACTGTTCAGTTCATTTACATTCTAAAATGGTCCTTTTCTGATTCACAGGCATTTTCATTAAATATTATTCTTCACACTCCTATTCCTGCTACTTCATAGTCCTGCTACTTGACCTCTTAGGAGTTCATACAAAGACCCCTGTTCACAGTGTTCTAACATTTGATTTAAATATAAATAATTTTGCCTGGCTATAAAGGTATACATTTGGCCCTTGGCCTGGTGATCATTAGAAAACTAAAGCTCCGAGGTCAGTCTTTATTTTTAAGATATTTTATACTCAGAGAATCCCTCAACTAATCTTGATCAGAATCACAACAGCTCCTTTTCCATGCCTAGAAGGATTTTAGAATATAGTTTTCTTTTAAGTTAATTATGTGCATGGAAGAAGTAAGGATTAAAGCTAGAAGGGACCATAAAATATATCTTACTTAGATTTACCAATAGTGCAGTTAAAGCCAAGAGAGCTGGGTTAGTCACAGTGTTAGGCTTAGAACCCCAAGCCATTCCCCATGCTATCAGACTAGGAATTGGTATATACTTAATCGGCTTTTGATAGTCTACAGGCTACTTACCTATTTTGCAAAATGGTCCACTTCTTTTCCTAAATTCAGTCCTGTGTTCAACCTTTACCCAACAAGTTTCCAGCATCCCGGAGCTTCTTGCTGGTGGAGAATGTGAATTTCATGTAATAGACATCTAAGCAAAAGCTAACTAGAAAAGCAAATGTGGAAGAAATGTCGTCTCAAATTATGACTCCTATTTCAGAACAGAAATGAGTGAGTTATCTGTATTTAATTTCTACTTGTTTCTAATTAGAAAACAGATTGTATATGATGAATGACTTTGTCAGATAAGATTCTGAAGTTCTTAAGAACTAAAAAGCCAAGCAATTCTCTGATCTTGACCATTCTACAGACACAGGAGGAAATTTGTGTCTGTGAATTGGATTGGAGGTGCTCAACAAACAGTCAGGGAAGAAACTGGCCCACCTTTTAGATTACTGGACTGAAACTGCAGCAATTTCAATCCACTGGGGACATAGGTTTATATTTAAGCTTCCCATGAGAAAGAGGCATGTCCATGCACAATAAATTTCAGTGGGCCTATCAATCCACTTTAAAGTTCACTTTACCAGAAATTTTTCCAAATGAAAGTGAATAAGTAGCTAGTTGTTCAAACAGATTCACCCAACACTTCTACTTTGCAACACTTGTAAACCTGGTCAGAATTAATTCATTCTTATTATAACTATGTTTTCGGTTGTTTTGTTTATTCATATTAATTACAGACTTCATAATGTCAAGGACCTTTTTGCCTGTTTTACTTTTCCTTTTATATATGTATCTAATGAATTTGGTACTTTCTTCTATTCATATCTAATTTGAGAGCCTATAAAGAAAACTTTGTTGTCCGGGATCTTCTTTTCCAGAGTTTTTCCAGTATCTTTTTTTACTCAGATCTGCATTATCTAGCTTCCATCATTTCTGCAAATCTTTAAAGAAAAATCATTGACTGAAACCGTCCCTTTTCTGTCCTTATGGCCCAGCAGAGAACCAGAGACTCAAAGTGTGAAACACATTTCCAGGCCACAAGGAGATCACAATCTGGTCTAAAAATGGAGCCATACATTCACCATACATCTCCCTATTGATGTCTTGGGGAGGCAGTGGCCTGTTACCTCAACCAGGCAGACAGCACATATTTGGCTAGACATCTTTGACCATGCTACTGCTATCTATTCATGAGGTAGGACAGCTTAGAAAATGCAAGTCACAGATGTGTGTGCTGGACAACCATTTGCAAGGCTACCACATCCTTTAATTGGTGAGGATACCTGGGAGGCAGTAATTAAAAACATTCCCTCTAGGGAAAGAGTATTTTAAGAAGTGCATACTTAAAGATGAGATCCATTCCATTTTAAGAACATTCACTAATGCTCGAAGCAATAATTACATAGGAGAAAATGGCTCCATTTGGTTTGAAAGTTGAAGCCAGTTAGTAATAATATTCTGCCAGTCCCCTTTCCTGAAGGATCCCAAAGCACTTTATGAAAAGCAGTGACTGAAGCCTTGTTGTACTCCCCTAAAGAGACCTTGTCTGGGAGCCACCTGGCAAACACCTACCCCATCCTTGCCAGGAGATCATGCCAGACTAGTGAAAAAGAGGACTGGCTTCTCATTCATTGTTATCCTGCCACACAAATGTATACCCTGTTGAGGGCTAAGAGCTTCTCTGGAAGATGACTTCTTTAAACAAGAAGGCACACCAGAAAAAAATCCCAACTCCTGGACCTCTTCTGCTTCACCCTCCACCCAGGATATATTCGCTTTTTATTTGGAGAACTATCAGCTCAAGCTGTCAAGGGGTCTGTTGTGTACTTAAGTTCCCTAGTTACATTAGCAGTACTGAGAATTCGCTGGTCTCTGAAAATACACACACGAATATATGTATATATGATACGTATATGTGATATCATTAGTCTACAGCTTCTCGGCCTTTTAGGTAATTGCTACAGTGGAGGGTGTGCATCTTTGTACACAAGTTTACTAACTAGAACATACTGATTAGAAAGATTAGAGGGGATCCTTGCAGACTCTCAAGAAAACACCCTTTACTCTTAAGGAATTCAAAATAGTACATTGACACCCTGGAGTCTAAGTATTTTTTCCAGATGATTCAACAAAGCTTCTCTTTTGAAGGTCATATCTTTAAGGAAACTTTCAAGGGCATCTCTTCATTGGTATTAGGGTGAATGAGGGGAAACCTTTTCTTTGCCTATCCCCTCCCATAAGATGTGCAAACACATGGCTTCATGACTGTTAAAGCTAAACTTCAATGCAGCCTTACAAACAACAAGCGTAGTGTATTTGAAACTATGTTGTACAGCTTGGAAACCTATTCTAAGATCTTAATTCAGAGTTTTTCTGAGGTGTTGAACTTTGCCATTAGCAAAACTTATTTTTAGAAAAAAAATCCTTTGACTGTTTATGAAGCACTGATTTTTGCCATATTTTAAGTCTCTGGTTTTTCCCTGCATCTGCACACAGTGATTATATTTGTGGTTTTTATTGTATCTTCTATTTCCTTTAATAATGAATTTGTAAAATGGCTATTCAAAGGGACAGTCAGTTTTATTTAACAATAGAGTGAGCAAACTATGAAATTATTCTATTTTAGAAAAGGAAATAGGAGGGTTTTTTGTTGCTGCTGTTGTTATTGTTGTTGTTACTGTGTTAAACATTATCCTAGGGTCTTTCCCTACTGATATACATGCTTTAAATTTCAACAAAAGCCAATATTTAACATATTAGCAAATGTTGTGAAGCTGTTAATGTTCTTTGCTTTTTGTCCCTCAGTCCATGATACAAAAATCTTAATATACTTTCCTAACAACCACTATCTATTTGATTTTCAAAAGGCCAGTCTGGCAAATTATTGTAAGGCATTCTGAATTTCTATGTTGCCTTTGGCTTGTAAAAAAATCATATATAGGAAGAATATCCCATGTTTGTTTTGTGGTCATAAGCATCAGTTTGATATTTGTGATTGGAAAATGTGTGTATGTATGTATGTGGGTGTGTGTGTTTTGGGAGAGATGTTTCATTAAAAAAGCAATTTAAGTAACATTCTATTATGCAGTGTTTGATTGCTTTCTGCCTAATGTATACATAGTAATCTGGCTGATTAT